TATGTTACTGTTCTCAATTTGATTTCACATAGATAATTCTTTTTTTTTTTTCCTTTGTACCTTAGATGAGGGTTTGCAGAACAAACAGTTTCTCATTGAACAGTTAGTACACATATTGTCCTGTGACAATGGTTAACAACCCCACGACATGTCAACACTGTCCCTTCTCAACTTTGGGTTCCCTATCACCAGCTTTCCTGTCCCTTCCTGCCTTCTTGTCCTTGTCCCTGGACTGCTGTGCCTCATTAGTCCTGTTTTGTTTTATGAGGCTGTCCAATCCCTGGCTGAACGGTCAGTTTTGGGAGTGACTTCACCACTGAGCTAAAAGGGTGTCCGGGGGCCATACTCTTGGGGTTTCTCCAGTCTGTCAGGCTAGTAAATCTGGTCTTTTAAAAATTATTATTTTGTAACATCTTATGCAGAGTATATAATACAGAATTGTATACAGATTCTTGTAAGTCCCTAGTATCCAGTAATTACTTGTTGATTGGATTTAGTTGTTTTTAAAAGACATGTAAAGTGAAAAATATTGAATAATTGAAAAAGTGAGTACAGTAGTCCTGCTTTATCTGCAGGGGATATGTTCCAAGACCTCCTGTGGATGCTTGAAGCCACATATAGTGCTGAACCCTGTCTATACCATGATTTGTCCTATACATACATACCTACGATAAAGTTTAATTTATAAATTGGGAACAATAAGAGATTAACAACAGTAATAAAAAGAACAATTATAATAATAAACTATAATAAAATTTATGTGAATGATGAACCGGGACAGCATGAGATTTCATCATACTGCACGCTCATTTAACGTTTTTGAATCACGGTTGACCGCAGGTAACTGAAACCGTGGATAAGGGGGGCGGGGCTACTATAATTTACAATAACTATCACCCGGTAATCTACTTCTGAAAAATCAGCCATTGAATACCCTATAGAGTACAGGTCTATTCTAACACACATGGGATCATCATGAGTTGGAATTGATTCAATGGCAACTGGCTTTGGTGGGGACATTGGTGGTTTAGTGGTAGAGTTCTTGCCTTCTATGAAGGAGACGCAAGTTCGATTCCTGGCCAAAGCACTTCATGTATGTCCACTACCTGTCTGTTACTGGAGGCTATGTGCTGCTATGATGCCGAACAGATTTCAGCAGGGCTTCCAGACTAAGACAGATGAGAAAGAAAGGCCTGGTGATCTATTTTAGAAAATTAGCTAATGAAAACCCTATGGATCACAGCTGTCTCACCTACAACCTATCATGGGGATGGTGCAGAACTTGGCAGTGTTTTGTTCCATTGTGCGTGGGATCGTCACGATTTAGGGGCCAACTTGACAGAAGTTAACAATAACAGTCACACAGGTGACAGGGAAGAGAATGGGCTTATTAAAATTGTACAAAGCATAGTAAAAAGGAAGTGTTCCTGTGAATTATATAAAATGTTATTTTCTATAAGCTGTGTCAAAGAAGAATAATCAGTAATAAAAAATCAGTAATTAAAAAAAATCACATATATCAACTTGGCTAGTTTTTACACAACATCATAATAGTCTTGGAAAGCTTAACACAGTAATTTAAGAGAAAGGGAAGAAGTCTTGAGGTGACCCAAAAGGGTTGAGTTACTATATAGATATATTAAATGACTTATTACTAGTGAATTTTTGAATTTTACTCCCTCAATACAGAAAAATACTCTCTATATCTTTTGATAATTTTGAATGATTTAAATGCTGGGAAGTATGGTGGCTTTTCTCTGATTGTTATTCACATCTTTCTGCTAACTTTAAGTAACCTAACCAAACCAGTTGCTGTCAAGTTGATTTCGCTCATGGCGACCCCATGTGTGTCAGAGTAGAACTATGCTCCATAGGGTTTTTAATAGCTGATTTTTTTGAAAGTAGATCACTAGACCTCTCTTTCGAGGTGCTTCTGGGTAGACTTGAACTGCCAGCCTTTCAGTTAGCAGCCACACGGTTAATTGTACTACCCAGGGACTCCTAGGTAACCTATCAGTGTGAAATATGGGCTAAGCACATTTCATCTTAATGGTAAGTTATTAGTCTGTTTTTGTTTTTCTTTTTCAGAATGAGCTGATACACAGGATTTAGTCTACCAGGAGAATGAAAGTTTGTGAGAGGTCTTTGCTGTTTATATGTCAAATACTATGTTATAGGTTTCAATTTAACACATTCCACCAAGAAAGTGGCATTACTTTTGCTTGGTTAGAGAAGGCTATAAACACTTATCTTAAAAAACAAAACAAAACATTCGCCTTATCTTCATTGTGTTTTAATGAGAGTAGATCGATGGATTCCTTTTTGTGGAATGTTCCTTAGGCAGTAGTAACAGTGTTATACCCAAATGTACTTCTTCTCCCCCCTTCCTATTACTTGATAGTTTTTTTTCCCTGGCTTATTTCAGTGGCAGGTGTTACAAAAAACATTTAATTTATAGTTAATCTTTTTTTTTTTTTAATTAAAAATAGCTTTTTTAAAATGAGAGCCTCAATCAGGTACGCTATGATGCATTTCTTACACAAAACTAGCCATATTTCTTGTTTTCCTCTTAATGTATTCTAAAACACCGAATACTAGTTACCTCTGTAATTCTTTCCCCACAGGCTGCTTTGTACCGCCTCAGTGGAGACTGGAATCCTTTACACATTGATCCTAATTTTGCTAACCTAGCAGGTCAGTTGCTAATAATGTGACCCTGTGAAAAAATATTAGCTTATCATAATACTCTAAATAGTATATTTAAAGACACTGGTAGTTTGTATAATATTTTAAAAATAGCCTTTTCTTACTTACGTGTATGTGAAGGATATTGAAAGGTAGGAGGTGTTGGTCAGAAAAATGGTATACTAGAAATTCAGATTTTAGTGGGGGAGGGAAGCTCCTGCTAGTGATAAATTCTAAGATAGGACCTTACAGGGATTGGGTGTTTGAGTTATTGTGGAGGACAAGGTCATTGGAGGAGAGATCAAGCACTAAAAGGATACGGAAGGATCATCTACATACATGGAAATTAAAATCACTGGATGATGACGGGTTACAACCAAAGCTAACAAAGAGAACAATTCTTTACATTCGCAGTTCTCTTAATTACTTTTCCTGTTTTTGTTGCTGTTTGATAATTTTCTTCCAGGAAGTATTATTCTGTAAAATAGTTTCCATGTTACTTAAAATAGATGGTATAATTCATGCTAATGCAGTTTAAAAATATACATAAAAAATCCCAAATTAACTGTAGCTGGTTTTTAAACATGACAAAAAACAAAACAAAACCTGTTGCCGTGGAGTTGGTGCCAATTCATAGCGACTCTATAGGACAGAGTAGAACTGCCCCATAGGGTTTCCAGGGAGCAGCTGGTGGATTTGAACTGCCAGCCTTTCGGTTAGCAGCCTGAGCTCTTAACCACTGTGCCGCAAGGGCTCCTTAAACATAACAGGTGCTTGTATTTAACTAAATTCTCTCTCTTTTTTAGGTTTTGACAAGCCCATATTACATGGATTATGCACTTTTGGATTTTCTGCCAGGCATGTTTTAAAGCAGTTTGCAGATAATGATGCATCCAGATTCAAGGCAATTAAGGTATATACATATTAATGCATTATTTGAAGAAAAGCAGTTTAGTGAATTCATTTAAAATAGGTACTGTATGGTAGTCATACACATTTTTATTGTTTCATTGGGTTGGCAACTACACATTTTAATTTTGTAGCTACAAATAGCTCTATACACAGGTGTTATCAGGATATTATATAAAATTACAATTTTAACAGATAAAGTGGATTTTATCTCTTATTTTATCATGTTATTAATTAGGAATATACATATACACCACGTGCCTTCTTATCAAAAACTCGAGATTTACTCTACTTTTTTTACTGTTTTATTACTTACTTTAATGTAATTGAAAATATTAACCCTAATGACCAAAGACCAGATGAGTTGTGGAATGACATCCAGGACATAATACATGAAGAAAGCAAGAGGTCATTAAAAAGACTGGAAAGAAGGAAAAGACCAAAATGGATGTCAGAAGAGACTCTGAAAGTTGCTGTTGAATGTAAAATAGTTAAAACAAAACAAAGAAGTGATGAAGTAGAAAAGCTGAACAGAAGATTTCAAAGGGTGGTTCGAGGAGACAAAGTAAAGTATTATAATGACATGTACAAAGACCTGGAGTTAGAAAACCAAAAGGGAAGAACACGCTCGGCATTTCTCAAACTGAAAGAACTGAAGAAAAAATTCAAGCCTTGAGTTGCAGTAGTGAAGGATTCTACAGGGAAAATATTAAATGACACAGGAATCATCAAAAGAAGATGGAAGGAATGCACAGAGTCACTATACCAAAAAGAATTGGTTGACGTTCAGCCACTTCAGAAGGTAGCATATGACCAGGAACCAATGGTACTGAAGGAAGAGGTCCAAGCTGCACTGAAGGCATTGGCGAAGAACAACATTCCAGGAATTGTCGGAATACCAATTGAGATGTTTCAACAAACGATTGCAGGGCTGGAAGCACTAACTCGTCTATGCCAAGAAATTTTGAGGACAGCTACCTGACCATCCAACTGGAAGAGATCCATAGTTACACCTGTTCCAAAGAAAGGTGATCTAGCTGAATGTGGAAATTATCAAACAATATCATTAATACCACATGCAAGTAAAATTTTTGCTGAAGATTGTTCAAAAGCAGATGCAACAGTACATCAACAGGGAACTGTCAGAAATTCAAGCCTGATTCAGAAGAGAACGTGGAACCAGTGATAATATCATTGCTGATGTCAGATGGATCCTGGCTGAAGGCAGAAAATACCAGAAAGATGTTTACCTGTGTTTTACTGACTATGCATAGGCATTCGATTGTGTGGATCATAACAAATTATGGATAACATCATGAAGAATGGGAACCCCAGAACCCTTAATTGTGCTCATGAAGAACCTATGCATAGATCAAGAGGCAGTTGTTCGAACAGAAGAAGGGGATACTGTGTAGTTTAAAGTCAGGAAAGGTGTGCATCAGGGTTGTATCCTTTCACCATACTTATTCAGTAAAAAAAAGCTGGACTATATGAAGAAGAACAGGGCATCAGGATTGGAGGAAGACTTATTAACAACCTGCATTATGCAGATGACACAACCTTGCTTGCTGAAAGTGAAGAGGACTTGAAACACTTAGACTGATGAAGATCAAAGACTACAGCCTTCAGTATGGATTACACCTCAACATAAAGAAGACAGAAATCCTCACAACTGGACCAATAAGCAACATTATGATAAACGGAGAAAATATTGAAGTTGTCAAGGATTTCATTTTACTTGGATCCACAATCAACACCCATGGAAGCAGCGGTCAAGAAATCAAACGTTGCATTGCAACGGGCAGATCTGCTGCAAAAGACCTCTTTAAAGTGTTAAAAAGCAAAAATGTCACCTTGAAGACCAAGGTGCGCCTGACCCATGCCATAGTGTTTTCAGTTGCCTCATATGCACGTGAAATGCATATGACCATAGCTGGACAATGACTAAGGAAGACCGAAGAAGAATTGATGCCTTTGAATTATGGTATTAGGGAAGAATATTGAGTATACCATGGACTTCCAGAAGAACGAACAAATCTGTCTTGAAAAAAGTACATCCAGAATGCTCCTTAGAAACAGGGATGGCATGTCTATGTCTTACATACTTTGGATGTGTTGTCAGGAGGGATCAGTCCCTGGAGAAGGACATCATACTTGACAAAGTACAGGGTCAGCGAAAAAGCGGAAGACCCTCAACAAGATTGATTGACACAGTGGCTGTAACAACGGGCTCAAGCATAACAACGATTGTGAGAATGATGGAGGACTGGGGATCATTTTGTTCTGTTGTGTGTAAAGTCGCTATGAGTTGGAACTGACCCTATGGCACCTAACAACAAGAACAACGTATGTGAACTCTAATAAACACTTGCCTACATCAATTGGCTGCAGTTGTTTTTAGCTCTTGTATTTTTATGTTAATTTTAAGTTTTTATCCATTACAAATAACAACAAAAAATATCTGTGCACACAATATCTTTGCATAAGAATTAGTCAAAAGATACATACTAAAAAAAATTTAAGACTTAGTTCCAAATAGCTCCAAAAGCTCTTATCACTTTATGTTCCATGCAGCAGTAAAAATGCATTTTCCCATGCCTTATTCTTGATAACACAGCTAGTATTATGCTTTTCCATTTTATTACAACTATTTTTATAGTTAACTAGTAATATGTGCACAAAACAAATAAAATAGTATAGAAAGTTATGAAATGAAAAGTAGTAGTATATTGCTCTGTATACCCACCCCAGGTCTCATTCCCCAGAGGTTAATTACTACCATTTTTAAATGCTTCGTTTAAGTTGTTCTGGTGGTTGCTTCTGTAACTCTGGTTAATGTGATTATACTCTTTGTTGGTTCATCAAGATTAAACACTATTTATTGGCCCCCTATATTAGGTATGTTCCCCACGTGTCTGTCAGTTTGTCATACTGTGGGGGCTTGGGTGTTGCTGTGATGCTGGAAGCTATGCCACCAGTATTCAGATACCAGCAGGGTCACCCATGGCAGACAGGTTTCAGCTGAGCTTCCAGAGTAAGACAGAGTAGGAAGAAGGACCTGGCTGTCTACTTCTGAAAAGAATTAGCCAGGGAAAACCTTATGATAGCAGCGAAACATTGTCTGATATAGTGCTGGAAGATGAGCCCCCCAGGTTGGAAGGCCCTCAAAAGACGACTGGGGAAGACCTGCCTCCTCAAAGTAGAGTCAACCTTAGTGACGTAGATGGAGTCAAGCTTTCGGGACCTTCATTTCCTGATGTGGCATGACTCAAAATGAGAAGAAACAGCTGCAAATATCCATTAATAATCAGAACGTGGAATGTACAAAGTATGAATCTAGGAAAATTGGAAATCATCAAAAATGAAATTGAATGCATAAACATTAATATCCTAGGCATTAGAGAGCTGAAGTTGACTAGTATTGGCCATTTTGAATCAGACAATCATATAGCCTACTGTGCTGGGAATGACAGCTTGAAGAGGAGTGGCATTGCATTCTTCATCAAAAGGAACATTTCAAGATCTATCCTGAAGTACAGTACTGTCAGTGATAGGGTAATATCCATACGTCTACAAGGAAGACCAGTTAATACGACTGTTATTCAAATTTATGCACCAACCACTAAGGCCAAAGATGAAGAAATTGAAGATTTTTACCAACTTCTGTAGTCTGAAATTGATCAAACATGCAATCAGGAAGCACTGATAATTAGTGGTAATTGGAATGCGGAAGTTGGAAACAGAGAAGGATTGATAGTTGGAAAATATGGTCTTTGTGATAGAAATGATGTCGGAGATTGCATGATAGAATTTTACAAGATCGACAACTTCTTCATTGCAAATACCTTTTTTCACCAACATAAATGACGACTATACACATGGACCTCACCAGATAGAATACACAGGAATCAGATCGACTACATCTGTGGAAAGAGATGATGGAAAATCTCAATATCATCAGTCAGAACAAGGCCAGGGGCTGACTGTGGAACAGACCATCAGTTGCTCATATGCAAGTTCAAATTGTAACTGAAGAAAATTAGAATAAGTTGACAAGAGCCAAAGTATGACCTTGCGTATATCCCACCTGAATTTAGAGACCATCTCAAGAATAGATTTGACGTGTTGAACACTAATGACCGAAGACCAGATGAGTTGTGGAATGACATCAAGGACATTATACATGGAGAGAGCAAGAGGTCATTAAAAAGACAGGAAAGAAAGAAAAGACACAAATGGATGTCAGACTCTGAAACTTGCTCTTGAACACTGAGTAGCTAAAGCAAAAGGAAGAAATGATGAAGTAAAAGAACTGAACAGAACATTTCAAAGGGTGGCTCAAGAAAACAAAAGTGAAGTATTATAATGACATGTGCAAAGAGCTGGAGATAGAAAACCAAAAGGGAAGAACATGCTTGGCATTTCTCAAGCTGAAAGAACTGAAGAAAAAATTCAACCCTGAGGTTGCAATAGTGAAGGATTCTGTGGGGAAAATATTAAACGATGCAGGAAGCATCAAAAGATGGAAAGAATATACAGAGTCATTATACCAAAAAGAATAGGTCGATGCTCAACCATTTCAAGAGGTAGCATAAGATCAGAAACTGATGGTACTGAAGGAAAAAGTCCAAGTTGCATTGAAGGCATTGGTGAAAAACAAGGCTTCAGGAATTGACGGAATATCAATTGAGATGTTTCAACAGATGGATGTGGCACTGGAAGTGCTCACTTGTCTATGCCAGGAAATTTGGAAGACAGCTACCTGGCCAACCAACTGGAAGAGATCCATATTTATGCCTATTCCCAAGAAGTTGATCCAGCTGAATGCGGAAATGATCGAACAATATCATTAATATCACATGGAAGTAAAATTTTGCTGAAAATCATTTAAAAGCGACTGCAGCATTGTATCGGCAGGGAACTGCCAGAAATTCAGGCCGGATTCAGAAGAGAATGTGGAACCAGTGATATATCATTGCTGATGTCAGATGGATCCTGGCTGAAAGTAGAGAATACTAGAAAGATGTTCACCTGTGTTTTGTTGACTATGCAAAGGCATTCAGCTGCGTGGATCATAACAAATTATGGATAACATTGCAAAGAATGAGAATTCCAGAACACTTAATTGTACTCATGAGGAACCTGTACCTAGACCAAGAGGCAATCGTTCAGACAGAACAAGGGGATACTTTGTGGTTTAAATTCAGGAAAGGTGTGTGTCAGGGTTGCATCGTTTCACCATGCCTATTGAGTCTGTATGCTGAGCAAATAATCAGAGAAGCTGGACTATATGAAGAAGAACGAGCCCTCAGGATTGGAGGAACAACCTGCATTATGCAGATGACACAGCCTTGCTTGCTGAAAGTGTAGAGGACTTGAAGCACTTACTGATGAAGATCAAAGACAACAGCCTTCAGTGTGGATTACACCTCAACATAAATAAAACAAAAATCCTCACAACTGGACCAATAAGCAACATTATGATAAATGGAGAAAAGATTGAAGTTGTCAAGGATTTCATTTTACTTGGATCCACAATCAACACCCATGGAAGCAGCAATCAAGAAATCAAAAGACGCATTGTATTGGGCACATCTGCTGCAAAAGACCTCTTTAAAGTTTTGAAAAGCAAAGATGTCACCTTGAAGACTAAGGTGTGCCTGACCCAAGCCATGATATTTTCAATTGAGTCACATGCATGCAAAAGCTGGACAGTGAATAAGGAAGACTGAAGAAGAGTTGACGCCTTTCAATTGTGGTGTTGGCAAAGAATATTGAATATACTGTGGACTGTCAAAAGAATGGACATATCTGTCTTGGAAGAAGTACAACCAGAATGCTCCTTAGAAGCAAGAATGGCGAGACTACGTCTTACATATTTTGGACATGCTGTCAGGAGGGATCAGTCCCTGGAGAAGGACATCATGCTTGGTAAAGTAGAGGGTCAGCGAAAAAGAGAAAACCCTGAACGAGATGGATTGACACAGTGGCTGCGACAGTGGGCTGAGTCATAACAACCATTGTGAGCATGGAGCCGGTCAGGGCAGTGTTTCGTTCTGTGGTACGTAGGGTCGCTATGAGTCGGAACCGACTCAGCGGCGCCTAACAACACCAACAACATATTAGGTATGTAGTCTCTGGGTAGTGCAAATGGTTAAATGTTCTGTTACTAAACTAACCAAAAGGTTGGCGGTTTGAACCCACCCAACAGCAACTTGGAAGAAAAGCCTGGTCATCTGCTTTTGAAATGTCACAGCCTTGAAAACCCTATGGAGCACAGTTCTACTCTGCAACACATGGGATCGCAATGAGGCAGGATCGACTAAATGGCAACTTTTTTTTTTTTAAATACTAGGTATATCCTTTTCCTGCTAATTTTATCGCATTATTAGTTTCAGTTATTTTATGACTTGAAATATATTTAATCCTCTGTTCTGTTTCCTTTTTGTTATCCCTACCTCTCTCCCAGTTTCTTCCCCCCCTGCACAAATTGAAGAGTTTCACTTTACAGCATTTTTAACCCAAAAACTCATTTATTTTATAGGTTCGTTTTGTAAAACCAGTATATCCAGGTCAAACTCTACAAACTGAGATGTGGAAGGAAGGAAACAGAATCCATTTTCAAACTAAGGTATGAATGATAGTGTCTGAAGTACTTTGTTTTGTTATCCTCTTCACCACACTTCATAATTTTGTCCCAGCTTATCATTTCTTTCGTTAGTACTATGGATATGAGATAAAACCTAGAAATTTTTTTTTGTATCATTGGTAATTTTTAATTGAAAATAAAGTGCCTTATGCACCTTCCTTTTTATTTTCTATTTTCCTCTCAACTAAACTGGTACGTGTCTCCAAAGCAGTTGCACAGCTGTTCTGAGAGCCTGACCACCCGTAACTTTTTGACTCAAGCAATCAACCTAGTTCTTGTCAAAGTATGATTTCCAAAAAGTTGAAGGCATGACTGTCAGACAGGTAGAGAATGAACATGTGACGAAAATTTATTTAACTCACTAATGCGAGACCTAGCAGATGATAAAAATGTTTCAGAAGAGAATTAGCGAAACAGATTTATGTAGTTCAACAGGAAAGACATTCCAAAATAAGTTCGGTGAGTTACAGACAAACTTATTTAAAGTCTGTATTAGTTTCCTAGGGCTGTAATAAATTATCACACACTGGGTGGCTTAAAACAACAGAATTTATTCTCTAACAGTTGTGGAGGCTAGAAGTCTGAATTCAGGGTGTTGGCAGAACTGTGCTCTCTCTGAAGTCTCTAGGGGAAGATCCTTCCTTGTGTCTTCCAGCTTCTAATAGCCCCAGGCACTCCTGGGTTTGCGGCAGCATAACTCCAGTCACTTTCCTCTGTTTACTCATGGCTGTCTTCCCTCTGTGTCTGTCTGTCTGTGTGTATCCCTTCTCTTTTTATAAGGACACCAGTCATGTTAGATTAGGGCCAACCCTACTTCAGTATGACCTTATATTAACTGGTTACATCTGCAAAGACCCTATTTCCAAATAAGGCCACATTCATAGGTACTAGGGGTTAGAACTTCAACATATCTTTTTGTGGGGGTCACAATGCAACATATAACAATGTCCTACAGAAAAATAAAACCATATTGCTTATAACTGTCTTTTCTACTGGACAGGAATCATTTGGACCTTGATCACATAAAAATTCACAAATTAACATGTTACCTCACAGAGTGTAGGCCTAATCAACAGTAAATAACATGCCACATAAAAGTGTATGTGTCTGTAGTTGGAGCCCTGGTGGTGCAGCAGTTAAGAGCTCAGGCTACTAACCATAAGATGGGCAGTTCTAGCCATAAGCTGCTCCTTGAAAACCCTATGGGGCAATTCTACTCTGTCCTATAGGGTTGCTATGAATTGGAATCAACTTGACAGTAATGGGTTTGGTTTTTGGTTTTTTGGTTCCTATAGTTAAATAATTTTTGGGTGAGACTATTAGTAACATTCAAATAACATGCAGTCCTCTTTTTACTTTATTTTCAGGTTTTTAGACAAATTTGTTAACACAGTTGACCAGGCTGATTCTTTTTGGCCTTATCATTTTGTATTATCTAGGTGGTCTGTGTTCAGCAGTTTAAACAGCACTGGCAATAATAACAGCTTTTGTTTATTGAGTGTCTATAAGCAGGCTCTACCATCATCTCTAACATGCATAACAACTCTGCATTTACAGATAAGGACATCTAGGGTTATATCTCTTAAATAACTTGCTCATGGTCACACAGGAAGTGGTGGAGCTGGGATAGCCTAGCGCCAAAGCTTCTTACTGTATCACGTTTTCTTTCATAAATAGGTAACTATACAGAACTCTTCCTGCATGGTTGCCTCACTCCCAGTTCCTGCTTCTTTCAATTTTGTTTTCTTAATCTACACTCACACCTTTATTCCACTTTTCAAATTCCTTCTGCTTTCAGGCTTCAGTTCAAGCGCTACCTTGCCCTGTGGCAGTCCTTCTTTCTTACCCATACTAATGTACATATTGGCTTTCTCTGAAATTCTGTTGCAGTTAATATCTGTGCCACACATACTGTGGCGCCCTCTTATTTTCTAATCAATTCATATGAGTAAGTTTTCTTTTTCAGACAAAGTTATGAACTCTAAGGACCATGACTGTATTACATACAAGTTTTTATTTTCCCAGAATACTAGTAATGAACAGTACATAATTTCTATAGATATAACCGAAAAGGACAGAGAAGTAGTTTGATATCTGAATATAACACATTCTTTCCATTTTGATAAATTCTAAGCGTGTCTTCTTTTCAGTATAAACCAACAAACCAAACACATTGCTGTCAAGTTGATTGCAACTCATAGTGATCCTGTGGGACAGAGTAGAACTGCCGCATAGTGTTTCCAAGGAGTGGCTGGTGGTTGCAACTGCTGACCTTTGTTTAGCAGCCGAGCTCTTAACCACTGCTCCACCAGGGCTCTTCTTTTCAATATATTTGCTAATTTTTCCCCCAGTGATTAGCAGTTCTCTTGTTCTGTTATTTATATGTGACTCCGGCCTTCCATTTCTTCCTCCCATCTCATTTCATTCCTCACTCCCTTTTTCCTTCCTTTCTGCTGTATGTTAGGAAACATTTTAAACCAATGTTCCAAAATGATATAAGAAAGTAATTTACTAAATTTTGTTCATAAATTGTCTCTTTCCATGCTTTTTACTATATATAATTTGAAGTAAAGTGAACAAAATATTTAAAAGATATTTTTATTTCCAAGATATGATGGAAGTAGTTAAGGGACAATGATCTTCCAGATTATTACAATGAAAGTTTTAATAAATGCTATCTTAATATTTAGAAACTTATCCTATACATTTGTAGCAATACCATACTTTCTATGGAAGAATAGCTATTGGAATAATTTTAGATGAAGAATTAGGAATTAAGAGTTTGAGTTCATTTAACTGCTGTTTTGATAAATGGCTACTTAATCATTTACTTATTGCTATACACTTCCTATTTGAAATAACTAGAATTATTACCTTAAGACCACTATGGCCTGTTCTGGCCTATTTTATTCTACTAGTACTTTGAGCACTAGTACCTCATGTAGATATTGTGCCATGCCGTTTGCTATCCATAAGATTTCAGCAGTTCTCACTCTGGCTGGCTGTTAGACATACTTGTATTTAAAAGAAAAAAAAATCAGAAAATATTAATGTTCAAACCCCACCCCAGACCATTTAAGTAAGAATCTTTGGAGATAGCGTCTGATTGTAAGTATTGTTTAAAAGGGCCTCAGCTGATTTTGCAACTAGGGTTAATAACAGTTGTATTAAGTCAGTAATCATTCATGTTTATTCATTCTGATGTTTACTTCATCAGCTATTCATTTAATTTGGCTTTTTTTTGGCATATCTAGAGGCAATGTAAATTAAAAACAAAACTTTATACTGCTTCACAAGGAAATTGCATTTCCTTTGGAATCATCAGCATAAACCTTTTTTTTTTTTTCCTCTTGTGTACCCTTATAAGAACAAAGAAACTGGAGATATTGTCATTTCAAATGCATATGTAGATCTTGTGACAACATCTGAAGCATCTGATATTTCAGCTCAGACAACCTCTGAGGTAGGTTATAAAAGCTGGTATCCAAACAATTCCTTGATTTGTGATTTCGTTAGATCACTTGGACAATGTTCAGACTACTTTAGAAAGACTCTTAATTCTTGAGCTAAAGGATAGTAATTCAAAACTATTTGGAATAAAAGGAATATTTCGATAACTTAAGAATTTTTTTAAAACTTTTTTTGAGGGGAAAGTCATTTGATCTCCATAATATTCTGATGAAAGTGATGGAACCTCTCCTCAAAAAAAAAAAAATGCATGTACACACAGCCACATAAAATTTTGTGTGCAATTTCAAGGAGCTGATGGACCCCTTGAGGTCCATCTGTAGACCTCAATTTAAGAATTTCTAGCTTAGTTAGATTCTTAGTTGGATATTTTATGCATTCTAGTAGATCTTGAGGAAGTGAAGAAATAACTTGGGTGTCTTTCAAGAGAAAATAATTAGTATTTATTAGTTACTAATAAATTAAGTGTAAGACTGTCTAAATCAGTTGTTTAATGAGAATTTTAAGCAAACAGTATTTTGGAGAATAACAGATTAAAAGGTTAAATATCCGGAGCCTGTTTCTTTACTTAAAAAGATTTTAAGTAAATGCAACTGTAAAAGCAATAGCATGTATTATTTATTAAAACATTTGTATTACCCTCCATTAACATGCTGAAACTTTTGATAAAACATGTTTACATTCTCTGCCTCCAAAATAATAACTTTCTAAACCTTTTTATAGTGTTGAGTTCTTCATACCCACATGATCTTTGTCTCTTAAGTCATATTATCCCATAACTTACTGAAGATTAAAATCCTTTCAGAAAAATCTAAAATAAAAAAAATGTATGAAGTTTTAGGACTAGAAGGAAATTTAAGCTTCATGTAATTTAGGCCTATTTTACAAACAGAAACAAGACTAGAGAAGTTGGTTGATTTGTCTAGAATCTTCCTGCTGAAGTTTGACTGGAACATAGGATGTCCAGTTCCTGGTTAACTTTTAAAATATTATTTCTGAATTCTGATAAAAGTAAAATCCTCCAATTAAGAGGGTTGAGGTTCACGATGATCATATATAAATATAAGGAAAGTGTGAATGAAGCCTAGTGTGGGAAAAAAACAACTAGTTTATTTGCCTTATTTATGTGCCAGTCATTCTTTTAAAAATCACTTATATTGCACACGTTTTATGATTATTTTTCCCTTTGAGTCATTTTCACAGAACTTTTAACATTAACTTTTCTTTTTTTGCTAGGGCGGGGAGCTTCAGAGTACCCTCGTGTTTGAGGAAATAAGTCGCCGCCTTAAGGATGTTGGGCATGAGGTGGTAAAGAAAGTAAAGGCTGTATTTGAGTGGCATATCACTAAAGGTGGAAATGTTGCAGCTAAATGGAGTGAGTCATATCTCTAATTCTTTAATGTTCTAAGGCAACTCTTAGTAAATGGAGATAAAATATCCTTGTTATAATTAAAGCCTGTCTCTTTGAAGATAGGTAAACCCTGCCTTCTTGGGAAAGTTGTTCTTAGAAACTAGTGGTTTTCAGGGCATCCAAAGACATGATGCTTTTCAGAGATCTAGGGAATCACTTAAAATGAAAATGTCAATTTTAAAGATTTCATTGTTAATACCTGAAATTAGTACTTTTAAACAGTCATTTTGGCTGTATGATTCTTTAATTAAACTTTAACTTCCTCTTAACATAAAGCAAGTTCATCAGGTTAAATGAAATATTTTTAAGTCATTATATTTTGACAATTTAAAAATTATTTTTTTCATCCCAAATAGCTGTGGCTCAGTTTTAAGACTGTTTTATTCCTCATTACAATGAAAGAATCATGATAAATGCCCATTTAGACCAAAAACTTAAATGTATCTCTAATTCAACTGAAACTTTTTGAAATTGATGCCGGTCATTCTTGTTTCCGTTATGATCTCTTCAGGTTCTTATTTGTCAAAGCTAACAATCAAATGGGATCTTAAGGCTTTCTCTGAAAAGGTTCACTGGCCTTGTCATTTGATTTGATTCTCAGCTCTGCACTTATTGCTTCCAGTTTCTGGTACTTGTTTTCTCCCAGTCTTCGTGTCATTGAGCTAAGTCACAGGAGCTGGCAGCAGTAGAAACTATGTAGGTCTTTTGACTTATGGTGTCTTAGAAGATGATTCCATGTTGTCGTATCTAATTTTGCATTTTGGTGCTTAATGACATGAAATAAATAATTGAAAGATTTGGTTTAGGGAGTACCTAACTTTTTTTTTTTTGGCAAGCAGTTTTTAAAATGTTTTGCTAAATATTTAATTATCAAATACTTTGTTTTTTAAATTGTTAACTTGTCCCAGCCTTGTTTCTATCATTGGAGTAGTGATATAGCAGTAATCAAAAACTCTGGGCACAGTGGGTAGGAAGTCTTTTAAAATTGAATTAGTCTAGGTCTAGAAGGAATTAAGAGAGTTCTAGTGTTAGTGTTGGGTTAGTGTTGAGGAGGAGGTCAGCACTGATTTTGGCTGTGGAGGAGGAGGAGATTTGGAGGCTGCATGCCTGAGGATGTTGACTTTGTTACTAGAAGTGAGAAACATGGGAGAGGAAGGGAGTTTGGGAGAGAAGATGATGAGCTGTGGTGCCAGAAGTGTAGCCAACTGAGATCTGGACTAGATTGTAGGGTCTAGAATTTAGGGATTAGTTCACAGTGGGAGACAGGAAGTTCAAACCATATTCATGGAGATGGTCGCTAGAACAGAGAGCATTAACTTTGCCACTTTGCTTCCTGGCACCCAAAAAGAAAATGAAGGGAAAGTCATTGTTGGCCCTACAAGATTATTTGTTGTTCATGCTCACTTTGCAGAGCAATGGTTCCAGTATTTCCATTTGTGTATAAACAAAGTGAACATCAGAGAATTTGGCCCATGGATTTTAAATATGCATTTTATTGTAACTCTAGGCACAAATACAGTCCTGTGTTTTCAAAGAGGAACCTATTTGTTGTTTGAATGTATCCAATAGCTGTAAAATAGCCATACCACTGAAAGCTTTTAAGAAGACAGATTTATTTTTATGTGCTAATGATACAACGTTGTTCAGTAAAAATCTGTTTTGTTTTCTTTAGGATGATAGATTTAAGTAGGTTGGCATTGAGCAATTTGATTATTTTGCTCCTAAATGGAAATTTAGTTTCCTTTCACATATTTGTAATCTTTTCCATTATAAAAACATAATTGGAATTTACATTTAGATAGCAAGACTATATAAATATTACACATTTTTGCTTGAATATTGTTTGTTAAGTAATAAAGTGAGTTTGGTTTTACAAATATGTTCTGTCATTAATTGTGTAGAACTAAGGCTACACATCTGGACTAAATCCAGGCATCTATTATGTACTATATGACAATAAATGGATGAAGATGTTCTTTGAATGTTAGGGGTCATCTGTTTTCAATCTTGGAAATTTGCCGGAATATGAAAGACTGTGTACAGATTAGAGTACTAGCATTCTTTTAAGATCAGAATACATTCATTCTTGAGGATACGGTTTACAACCTACTAGCTCTTGGGGTGTGCTGATGTTACAGCAATGAAACCAGATTACCCTTTGGAACTTCTCAGCATGGATATAAACTAAGTCTTAGGGTGATAGATCCAAACTTTGATTTCAGATCCAAATGAATGTCTCATACATTTATACAAAAGTCTTGAAGGACCTTTGGAAAGAAATATGCTCTCCAGTCAGGGATGGGGGCCTGTTTGTTAGATAGGCATCTACTTGAGGGCCACTCTCTACTCCTATAGCAACAGTGGCTGCATCCCCTCTTACCAAGAGTAGCATCTGACTGCTTGCCTGTGGGCATTTACTCTTCAAAAGTACTCACAAAAGCACCTTTTAAAAATCACCTAAAACAAATATGACTTTCCGTCTTGCTGTGGATGTTATTCATCTAAATATCTTTCTGGTAATTTTTTATTTTGAAATAATTTCAGTCTTACAGAAAAGTTGCAAGAATAATATAGACAACTTACATCTATCCACCCATTTTCTCCACAAAGTGTTAACATTTTATCCCATTTGCTTTATTATTTTTCTTTTCATAATATGTTGTTATTTTTTGAGCCATTTGAGAATAACTTACAGACATGATGTCCCTAAATACTCTAGCAGCATTTCCTAAGAACAAGACATTCTCTTATATTCACAGAACAAGTATCAAAAGCGGGAGGTTAACACTGATACAGTACTATTATCTAATCCATAGATTTTATTCATATTTCACCTATTGTCCCAATAATTCCTTTATAGCAAGAGAATAGTAATAATAATAATAATGAAAATGAAGAAAGAACTGATCAGGGTCTATTCTGGGATCATACTTTGCATTTAGTTGTTAGGTTTCTTTAGTTTCTTTTAATCTGGGATAGTTCCTCAAGCTGCCTTTGATTTTCATGACCTTGACATATTTGAAGATTACAGGCCAGTTATTTTGTAGTGTATTCCTCAGTTCTTCTTTATTTTTTTTTTGTGACTAGATTGTATTTATAGATTTTTGACAATAGTAGTATAAAAGTATTGTGTCCGCTGTGATTTTTTTTAATTTTAATTTTTAACCTTATTATTATTTTTTTGATAGAGACCCTTCTTTCATGTGGTTTACTAATCATCCATTTAACAAATAGTTACTAAGCACTTCCCATTCAAGGAAGTGTAGAGGATACGAAGATAAGACGTATCAGTTCTAGCAAGGACCTTATAGACTTCAGGGAAAGAGGTATAAATAAAAATAACTCCTTGTCCGGGAGGATTTTATCTTATGAATAAATAAAAAAATGCTCAAGTTTGTCATGCATGAACTTGTTTAGTTTATTGCAAGGTAGTCATGGCAAGGCATGCAAGTAAGACCTCAAGACATTCATTTAGCATTAGAGAATCAGAATTAACAATTAAAATGTTAGTTTAAATGTTAGAGACCGGATCTTTAGACTTTAGGCTTTTACCTTTAATGGATGGTCTTGGGGAGAAGACTTGACCACCCCTTGAACTCAGGGGAGGTCTCGCGTAGCTAGGGTTTGAGGTCGGCTGTGGCTCAGTTTTCAGACTGAGAGTCAGAGAGACGTTTTGCTTCTGTCCTCTCTGAAAATGAAGAGAATCTATGGGTTTATATACCCTGTGTGCTGCCATGTTCAACTATAATTGGTGTGTTTTATTGCCAGTTAAGGAATTGTTGTATGACATATTTATGTTTTGTTAATTTATATTATGTTTTATTGCCAACTAGGGAATTGTTGTATGACTTATTTATATTCTTGTTTGCTGCATGTTTCAAGGCCAAGTTAATTAAAAATTTATGGGAATTGTTTAGTGACCTAGTTATGTTTGGTTAATTTTTAGAGATTTGATTACTGTTAAATTCCGTTATCACAGAGTGCACAGCCCAATATCAGAAAGTTATTTATGATATACTTCTATTATCTTATTTTCAAGGTTAGAACTTTCTAACAACTTGTAGTTAGAGAGCATTACAGAAATATATGTTTCTAGGTTCAAAAATTCTCTATTTAGAACTTCACATTCATATTATAAGTGACTTATACATCAAATCTGTTGCCATTGAGTCAATTCTAATTCATAGTGATCCTATAGAACAGAGTAGAACTGCCACATAGGGTTTCCAAGGAGCGGCTGGTGGATTCGAAATGCTGGCCTTTTGGTTAGCAGCCTGAGCTCTTATCCACTATGCAACTAGGGCTCCAACTTATGCATAAGTGTTTAAAACTATTATAAAAGCATTATAACAGTGTAAAAGCATTAGAAGCATACATAATAGTGACTTACACATCTGCATTTTAAGAACGTTACAGAATCAGGTGTTATTTGAGAGCATACAGAAAGTGTACCTAACACTCCTTTAGTAGCCTTTTGTGATTTTTAAGGGATATATCTCAAGACCATCACTGATCTCCAAGTTTCCAAATGACATGTTCTCATCAAATAGCTACCCCCCCATTAAATACTGTGAAGTGTAACTGAAATTTTTATAGATTCTTTCAGAGGCTTATGTTGTTGTTGTGTAATCGAGTCGATTCCAACTCATAGCAACCCTATATGACAGACTAGAACTGTACCATAGGGTTTCCAAGGAGTGGCTAGTGGATTCAAACCACTGACCTTTTGGTTAGCAGCCTGAGCTCTTAACCACTACGCCACCAAGTTTAAGGATTATATAAATGCAGGGCTAAAATCATTCCTAAAACTTTAAAAATAAATCCTGCCACTTAAAGAAAATGAATACAATCTGTTTTTCATTTTTGCAGTTATTATCCATGGCCTCACAGGTGACTGCAAAACTCTAGGTGATGGTGGTGAATGATGACGCTCCCACCTGAGCCATGTGGACCATGACCTGAGCCACTGTAGAATTGGAAGTGCAACTCTTACCCCAAACTTCTGTATTCTTGCTAAGAACTTTCCCTTTCTTAGACATCTTCCGTTATTATTAGCACTAGTTATTAGCCTTCCACAAAGAAAAGTTGTATGGCTATACAAGAATCATGGCTGTGAAGTAGCACGTAAAAACCCTGGGTGAATGAGAGGGCAGGTGGACAGCTAAGAACCTTCATTAGCTAAGAGATGCTCCTACACTATACACTACACTATACCACTAAGGTGTGTTTGGTCCAGTTGGTTAAGAGCTACGGCTGTTAACCAAAAACTTGACAGTTCGAATCCATCGGCCACTGCTTGGAAACCCTATGGGACAGTTCTACTCCATCCTATAGGGTTGCTGTGAGTCAGAATTGACAACAGCAACAGGGAGTGGGCTTTTAGGCTTACTTGTGAAGAACAGTTTTTTGTTTTTTTGTTTTTGTGAGGGATTAAAACCATTCATGTTAAATCTGGTGAATGCCAGAGGTTTGCTTTTCTTGAGTCTTTCCTTTCCCTTCCCTCTTTCTTTCTGTCTTTTATACAGATAATAAATGAAAACACATACTATTAAGTGCCAGTGAGAACACAGGGCTTTTGCTTTTCATGCTACACTTCTAGTACCTCATATATTGCCTGACACCCATAGTAGAAACTCAACAATGAAGTGAGTGAATGAAGTACACAAAGCAAAAGGTCCCCTTCTTCTCACTTTCCCCCCTGCCCCCAAAAGCAACCATTATCTTCAAGTTCTTTATTTTGGTTTACTTGGCAAAGTCCTTTTCTGTATAAAGTTGGAGTGATTTAAGTTTCTTTTTGGAGCAGGGCCTAGCTAAGCAGAATGTAGTTAAGCACTCTGGGTCTTCATATGCGTGTGTAGCTTTTCCTTGACCTTAGACTGAAAGTTCCTTGCCTACTCTTAAGGAGGGCGATGTGATTGTAGCTCCTTCACTCTAGCAAGAGAAAGCATGTTCATGAGGCTGAAGCTGGAAGAGTGGAATTGGGCTTCCTGGATGACTGGCCTCATCATCATATATGAGGAAGTTAAAACTTTCTAGAATATAATTTTGGCATACCCATACCCATTGCCGTAGAGTCGATTCTGACTCATAGCAACTGTATAAGACAGAGTAGGACTGCCCCATAGGGTTTCCAAGGCTGTAAATCTTTATGGTAGCCCACTGCCACATCTTTCTATGATGGAGCAGCTGGTGGGTTCAAACCGCTGACCTTTTAGTTAGTAGCTGGGCGCTTAACCACTGAGCCTCTAGGGCTCCTTAACTTTGGCATAAAACTCTATAAATGTTATATATAAAGGATTGAAGGTAAAATTTTAATAGTTTTCCCAGCTGCCCAGCTATTTTGTTATATACAAAAACAGGCAGCAGACTAGTCCCTGTTTCTGGGATCCTTAGTCTTTCTGTTAGAAACAGTGTGCTAAAGAAAAAGAAGCTTATTTTAATGTTTATTCACAACAGTTAGGGCAGTACATATTTTACAAATAAATTGCAATGGCTAACAAACCAATTAGAATATTTTTCAAATTGATCTTGGCTACTTTGCTACCCACATGATGAAACCTTTGATGAATTCAGGTATTTGAAAAGTGACTAGGTTAAAAGTCATTGTGTATTCTCTCCACTCAACCCAACTAACATGCAACTATTTTAAAGCTTGATTTTTCTCCTTTGTTGACTGTAGAGTTTTCATTTGAATGTAAAGACCTTAACCATGTAACATAACTTGGCTTAACTTCCTTATATTTTTCTATATTAATTCACATTTGAAATATCTTTTGTATAAACTTTTTATTGAGGAAGAACCATTATTGATTTGACTGCTTTGAAGAACTTCTTTATAAAAAGGACAGCTTGACAAATAAAGGATCTTCTGAATTTTTCTAAATGACAGATTATGTATAAACTATAGATAGACTAAGTACTATATTAATTTGGAAAGTATTTTTTCTGCATTTTGTTTAGTCTGTTTTATCCTCATGTCGTGAAGGAAAAATGATGCATATTGGTTTCTTCCTGTTTTTCTCAGCCATTGATCTAAAAAATGGTTCTGGAAAAACATATCAAGGCCCTGCAGAAGGCTCTGCTGATATAACCATCATAATTTCAGATGAAGATTTCATGCAGGTGGTCCTGGGCAAGCTTGACCCTCAAAAGGTAATATTCTCAAAATGATCATTTATTCATCATTATTGCTTCCTATTTGATAATTGCACATTTTGAACTGACTCTAAAATTATGGTTTATGAGACAGATTCCTTCTTATTTATAAAAAGATATGAACCAAACCAAACCCATTTTTCTCGAGTTGATTCCTAATCATAGTGACCCTATAGGACAGAGTAGAACTGCCCCATAGGGTTTCTGAGGTTGTAATCTTCATGGAAGCAGATTGCCACATCTTTCTCCTGCAGAGTGGCTAGTGGGTTCAAACCACCAACCTTTAGGTTAGCAGCTGAGCACTTAACCACTGCACCACCGGGTTCATTGAAGAAGACACAGTTGGTACCAGTATTCTGGTTGCCAGATAATATACTTTTTTAATGGCGTTTCAGCTGATGCTGAAAATGGACTTTTTGGTTGAAATTCTTCTTTGACATACAGCAAAGCAATATAAAACTCACATCTAGACTTTTTAATGTATTATGTCAGTAGTTCATAGGTGAAAAACCATATGGTATTTGCATAAACAGAGAAAACCAAACCTGTTGACATCAAGTCGATTCCAACTTGTGGAGACCCCCTGTGCTACAGAGTAGAACTGCTTTTGGCTGTAATCATTACAGAAGCAGTTTTCCAGGCCTTTCTTCCATGGAGCCACGGGGTGGTTTTGAATAGCCAACCTTTAGGTTAGTAACCAAAAAAAAAAAACCCAAATCTGTTGTTGTTAAGTAGATTCGGACTCATAGCGACCCTATAGGACAGAGTAGAACTGTCCCATAGGGTTTCCATGGAGCAGCTGCTGGATTTGAACTGCCAACCTTTTGGTTAAGAGCCGAGCTCTTAACCACTGTGCCACAAGGGCTCCTCTTTAGGTTAGTAGCCGATTGCAAACTGCTTGGGCCCTGGGCCCTGTATATTAATAAATACTTAATAAAATTAAACATTCATTTCTGATATATAAAATTAAGGATTTCTAGAAAACTGGAAATGGAAGGATATTTTAACATAATGCAAGTGTCTTAATTTATGGTGAAACATTTAGAAATATTTCAGTGGAAAATCATAATTAAAACAAGAGGTCCCTCTCTGACCATTGTTAATATTGTTCTGGAACTTTTGGCCAATCCACAAACATATAAAATTGAAGTAACAGATGTAGCAATTAGATTAGAGAAGAAAAATTTGATATTTTCAAATCATATGACTATATAGCCAGAAATCCCAAGAGAATCAACTGATAATTTCTTAGAATGAAGAAGTTCAAAGAAGTGGTTGAACGTACAGTAATTATCCAAAAATAGCTTTCATCTAGCAGCAAATCAGAAAATGTAATTGAAAAATATTTTTATTTATAGTAACAACCGAAACTACAAAATATCAGTGACTACCTTGACAGTAAAAGCACAGCGCTTATTTGAAGAAAACTATATAATTTTATAAGGAACAGAAACTGTTTGAATGAACAAGGAAGTGCACTATTTTCTATGATAGGAAGACTAATTTAAAAAGGATTATGAAGTAGTATACAGGTTAAGAATATGGTCTTTGGCATCAGAAAAATCTCAGTTTGAATCCTGGCCCTATCATTTAATCTCTAAGCCTCACATCTCTCATTTGTTAAATGACTATAATAATAGTAATGATCTCAAAGGATGGGAACTAAATCAGAGAATATTTATAAAGAACTTAGAATAGTGCTTGGTGCAGAGTGAATGAGGCCTTGGTTGATTTCTTTCCAGGAATTTGTTTAGTACCCACTCTGAGTCAGGAATTGTTCTAGGTGTTAGATGAACAAGACAATGCCCCTGATGTTGTGGACCTTAGTTTTAGAGGGGCTGATGGAAAAGAAATATAATTTCAGGTTTGAAGAAAAATAAAGCATAGAAATGGGTAGAATAGGGATTGGCAAACTTTTATATAAAAACAGGCAGCAGACTAGATTTTGTGCATGGGCTGTTGTTTACCAACCCCTAGCTTAAAGTGTAATGGGTAGGAGAACTGTTTTAGATGGAGTTGTCAGAAGACACCTGATAGAGACCTGAACTAAGTGAAAGAATGAGCCATGTGGCTAAGGAAACCACTAATGCAAAGGTCTGAGGCAAGAGTCTTGGCTTAATGAAGTACTGTAACAGTGAAGAGGCCGGTAAGGCAAGTAAAATGAACAGTGGGGAGAGTGGTAGGAGCTGGGATGAGACAAGTGGACAGGGGTTGTATCACACAGGACCCATAGATCTTGGCGAGGAGTTTAGATCTTATTGAATGTGATAGGAAGCTCTCAAATTATGGAATGGCAGCATTTGATTTATAAAGGTAATTCTGGCCACTGAATAGAAAATTGACTTTGGTGCAGAGAATGGATAATCAAGATGTCTTTTCTAGATATGTTATATTTGAGATGCCTATATTAAAGGGAGACCTCGTAGCACAGTGATTAAGAGATCAGCTGCTAACCAAAAGGTAGGCAGTTCCAATCCACCAGCTGCTCCTTGGAAATCCTGTGGGGCAGTTCTACTCTGCTGTGAGCCGCTATGAGTTGGAATCGACTCGACAGCAGTGGCTTTAGGTTTTTTTTTATACATAAAGATTAAGTGTAGGGTTAGGGAAACATTTATATAAGTGCTAGGAATATAGACATTTGAGGGGTGAATGGATTATTTAGTGAGTGGTACTAAGACAGTTACATATAACTATTTAAGAAATGATAGTACTTTACTTCATTCCATATGCCAAAGTTGAAACCATATAGAATATAATTAAATGTAAAAAAATAAAAGCAGAGGCAAAAACTTGATGGAAACCTAGGTGTATATTATTATTAATGGTAATCCTTAAAGAAATCCTAATTAATATCAGGGCTTTTCTAAACTCATTTGACTCTCTTACCTTTTTCCCCACCTTGATGTTATCTATCATCATTATTATTCTGTTCAAAGACCTTAACTCCTAGTGTACAGTCTTTCTCTGCCACCAGCTCTTGCCAACAGACTTAGTGGTTTCTTTCAAGATTCATAAAAATGATTTCTCCAACAAAATGGACTCTTAGTTTATTGATCTCACTTCTAATTATCTTTTACTCCATTCCATGCCAGCTTTAGTCCTTATTAGCAGCATAAAAGTATAGCTCAATATCTGTTTTAAAACACTGCGTTTTTCCTAACACCATCACCTACAATTCCATTAACTTGTTATGTAATTCCTACTACTACAATTAAACTTCATTGAGGCTCTAGTTTATTGACACTACCCCTTTTTATTCATCGGCTCCCTTCTGTCTTTTCTTCTCATTCAGCTTAGATTCCATGGACCATCTTCATAATATCTCCCTTGAAAATACCTTCAACTCCCTTATCTCTCTTTCATATTACTTGCCTAGAAAACCTCACCGTGTTTTAACCCCACTTTCCACCATCTTTGCATCTGCATCTGAATAGATAAAGATGGCAGGAGAAAAGTTATACAGCCAAACTGGCTTTCCTTGAAGTTTTTGATCACGAATCTCAAATAGTCTCTAAGCACTGTCTAGAAATCTTACAGTTTTCCACTAAGCTTCCGTTCCTGTTGTCTGAGGTGATTATTTCATACTTGTTTCCTTAAAACTCCCACACCCTTATTTTTCCTTCATTTTTAACTAATGACCTTTATGCTTCACTGAAAGGACCAAAAAAAAAAAAAAAAAAATTTCAGATAAGAACTTGCACCTTCCCATCTACCAGATCTATTCTACCAACATCTGCGTTTGTCTTCTCTTTCTTGTGTCCTGTTACATTGAAGGAAGTCTCCCTCTTCCTGTGAAAGACTAGTCTCTTCATTTCTGTTCCAGATATCACCTACTCAAGGTCATTGCTGCTTCTTTCTTCCTTTTCTGCATCAGTATCTCCCATTCTACTAGATAATTCCCCACAGTATACAAGTAAGTTAACATCTTGTGTTTAAAACAAATACCTTGCCTTGACAGCAGATACCTATCAAACGTATATCATTTCTCTATTCCTTTTCATAAAGAATTGTCTAAGCCAGTTGCTGTCCAACAGAAATATAGTGTGGGCTACATATGTAGTTAAAAAAGTTAAACAGAAACAGGTGAAATTAATTTTAATAATATATTTTAGTTAACCCAATACACTCTCTCATCACTTACTGAGATGGTTAGGTTCCAAATACCAGGTCTTTATGTGAGATCAGTGTTATGTGAAAATGGAGGATGACCACATCAGATTACAAAATGGAGGATGACTGTACGATTACATAACTGCCAAACTGCTGAGAATCATGGCCCTGCCAGGCTGACACATAAACTTAGCCATCAAAGCTGGTGTTACTCTCGCCTCGCATCTTGGCATTCATTTCTGCCAGACGTACATCGTTAATGTGCAAAATAGATAGTATGTTTTTTGCTCTTGACATAAATAAGAAATATTGGATAATGAGATAGTTGTTAAGTGTGGAGAAAGTGTATATTCAAATCTTATCATTTTAACATGTAAGCAACATAAAAATTATTAATATTTTATATCTGTTTTTCAGAATCCAGTGTATGTTTTATACTTATATACAGTGCGTTTCAGATGGAACTAGCCACATTTCAAGCCACATGTGCTAGTGGGTAATTTATTGGGCAGCAAGGTTTAAACATTCTGTCTTGTCTTTGCTCTTCTGTCCTCTCTTATCTGGCTTCCACTTGTATCACTCCATTGATAACTGTTCTTGTATCACTCCATTGATAACTGTCTTTCAGTAGCAGTCAACTAGGTTAACAACCAACTTCTTGAAATATTTTCATCTTTTGGCTTTCATAACACTATATTCTCTTGTTTTGCTTTTTTCACCTCTGACCATCCCCAGTCTCCCTTGGTGTCTTTTCCTATTCCCAACCATTAAATTTTGGTTTTCCTCTTGGTTTATTTTAGGGCCCTCCTCTATATAAACACTCTTTTCCTGAAATGAATTAATTCATCCAATGATATTTAAAGCCATCTGTATGTTGACAAAGGAGC